CAAGACTATGACCTGGTGTAACAGATAGACTACAGTAAACAATAAATTTTGTCAAAATGTGGTGCTATCTTTATATCCATACTAATATATATGTGAAAGTTTGTGAGGATAGATGGATGTTTGTTATTCAATCACACGAAAACGGCTGAAGGGATCTGAATGAAATTTGGTACAGAGATAGGTTATAGTCTGGAATAGCACATAGATTACTTTTTATTACGGAAAAGTTTATGGTCCTCGTGGGATAGATTTGTTTTTATTTGGGGACGAACCCGAAGCGAAGAGAGTGTTAGTCGCTAGTAAATAGTATTTTATATTGTTTCCTTTTACTTTACTACATATTTATTTTAAAATGTTCGCATGAAGGAATTACTTTGATATTTCCTTCTTAATCCAAAGGGTCTCTAAAATTTTACTAGACGTAACTGGAAACTCAATGGGTCTACTGTTTCAATAACAAAAAGTAACCCCCTACTGTTTTATAAGAACTTTCCTTTAGAAGATTATTGCTGGGCTCAATCTTTTTGATTTAAAATGCGTCCTCATATTTCTGATCCGTTGAATTTTAACTTTGACTTATGAAATCGTGTCTTATCTTTGAAGAGATTATTTTTATATTGTAATACTCCAGTGTATTGTTCTTCACTTTTTATTAATGGATTAACTGAGGATAAAAAGTATAATACTGATGAGGTAAAAAAAAGATTACTTATGTTATAGCAATTAGGTAAGTAAATAGTAAATTGATATTTGGTCGATATTATAAGGTTTATTTTTAGTATACTTGCTGTAGATAATAAAATTAGTACATTCAAACCCTCAATGCACTTACCGAAATAAAAGCATTCAATTTCGTTATCTTAAATATGTCCAATCTTTTTTAAACAACAGAAAAGTATAAAAAAATATTTCCACAGGAAAAAAGATCGTGATTTCTCATAAACCCAGCCTAATCAAATCATGAAACCTGTAAACATGCTCCAAATTGAACGCGAACAAATTGAAAAGATCGTAATCAGAAGAAAACGTCTCAATAATCAAATTGAATACAGCACGCTGATCAAATGTGGATGGCGCTTACAAATGTATGGAATGGAATGTGCCTTTAGAATGGTTATTAAGACATATTACACAATATAATCAAACCAGCATACATTATTTAAGCGTTTTGTAATATTTCTGCTTCGGACTATTAAGATGAATGAACTCACGGTCTGGGTATTATGATACGTACAGCATTGTTAACATCCCGCTGCTAGGTACGATACTGTGCTCAATGTAAAAGGTATCAGGCCACAGTCCATCACGACCCGCAAAATTTCCAAATTCTACTCCAAAATTCTACCCGCATTAGTTTAACATTCGTATTTCTATCGAAAACTTGTCTCTGTCAGACATTTCCTCAGGATGTTTTGATTCATCGTACGAGTATTAGCAAATTTTAATTAAATTGAAAATGACTTATGTACTTATGAAAGTCTCAGAGATGCGATGTTCGGGGCTTGAACCAAATTCATTTAGTTCATTACCTAGGTATGGCAATATATCTACTGTTTTTAGGGATTAATATCTTTAGTCTATACATATAATAAAATTCTAACTAAGCCGAATCTGTACAAATAGCGATTATTTTCGATACAGAGGCCGAATCAATAGTTTTTAGAACTTTTGTCTGTCTGTCTGTTACCGCATTGCGGAAAAACCACTGGGGGGATTGCGATAAAATGATATGGTGATATCTAGTTATCCGGGTCAACATATAGGATACTTTTTACCGTGGGAAAATATCTCATCGCTGAGAAAAATACAAAAACTGTAATGTAACAGTATACCTACTAATATGTAAAACCTAAGAATTTGGTGTTTGATCATCTATCATATATTCTATTCAATTATTATCAGTTTGGATACAATAAACAGTTATCGTTCCAAGCATCTATAACATTTTTATTTATAGCCTTAGATGCGTAATATCCTGAAAAAAATGTTATGACTCCCCAACTAAATGAATATTATAGGCTACAGGATTTTGACTTAGTTTTATAATTTTCCGCATCAAAAATCACAATTTTGATATTTAAAAAAATCAGGGTTAAATCTTATGTAACAGTTTCAGATAAATATGTTAATTTATTGTAATATAATTTTTCTGCCAAAGTTGGGTTACCCGCGGCTCGGCGGATTCGGCTTAGTTACAATTTTATTATATGTATAGATTATTAGTAAGTAATTCGGTAGGCAGTGGTAGCCCAGTGGTGACGCGCTCGCATGGGTAACCGAGTGAAGCGGGTTCAAATCCCGGGTCTCGCACCTCTGATATTTTCATGTGCGAATTATTTTCAACATGATTACCACTTGCCTTACGATGAAGGAAAACATCGTGAGGAAACCTGCATGTCTGAAAGAACCTAGCAAGTTTTCTAAAGACATGTGAAGTCTGCCAACCCGCACTTGGCCAGCGTGGTGGACTATGGCCTGATCCCCTTCATATTGAAGGGAGGCCCGTGCTCAGCAGTAGGACGTTAAGAAGGGCTGAATACATACCGAATTACTTGTATGTGTATACATACAAGTAATTCGGTATGTATATAAATGTCGGTAAATTAATTTAAAAAAAATATTTTTAATACATAGTATGTAATTTATCTTTGAAACTCTCGAGGCTACTAGCTTAAAAAATATGAAGGTAATAAAGCTTTTCATAAGGCACTTTTGCTTTTTTGGGCAAAAATCCTACATTGACTTACTGTTGGTTTTTATTGCTATGCGAGTAGTATAAACTGGTTAGTAAGCCTTACAAACTCCTCTGACTTACAGTTGTAACCTCTTGGGATAATAGAGATAAAATACGACATTCACAATACAAATATATTTCTATTTCTGGTTTTCCCGCATATTTCAATTCCACTTTTTCAACGGCTTTTAGATATCACTTAAATTGCTTTCGACTTCAAGAAGACAGCCTTCGAAGAATAAGACCACTTCAAATAGCAAAAGTGCAAAAAGAAGCGTTCATTACATGCACATTTCGCAGCATCTTCAAATGTAAAATAAAATGTTAAACTAGAAAATGTAGAATTCAAATTCTAGCGTAAAGCATTTCGAAAGATTTTATTAGGTAGCATTGATTGTAAAATTATTTTGTCGCCTTTTCTTTTACAAAATCGGACAAGTAAGACACGCGTGTTACTTTTACATCCAGGATACCTTTATCACCAAGCATTTTTGTATGGTTTTAACTAGTAAAAATTGTTAGGGTATAAGTAAAATAAAATATTTATGTAACAACATTTTTATTTTATCTGTTCATCATAAAATTTTGAGCGGTTTAAGAATTGTAATGGGTCAACAATATATACGAATTAATGTTTTTAATTTAAAAATTGTCTATTTAAAAGTGCTTGTAAAAGTTATCCCGAACTGATATTGTATCTACCAATTTAAGAAAACCATGATATCTCACAATTTATACATTTCGACTATAACCTCGTGGAATGCAACTCGGGACATGGAAGGAAAATGTCTTAAATATCAAGTTCAGAAAATATCAAGTTTCACTCAAATAATACATATTATATTTTAAAATAGAAACAACTGCTTTTAATTTCTTTTAAAAGAGGTTACCTGAACCGGTAATCGAACTAACTAAAAATGCAAAAAAGTACACTGTCACCGTTTTATCGAATTATTTTATATTAACAGAGTACTTATCAGTTAGTTCAATAAAAAACAGAGAAGGTATATTTTACTGTATTTTTAGTTGGTTCCATTTCAGGTAAGTTTTTTTTAAACTAATTTATAATTTTAAAGTATATCGTAGTTAACTGCAATATATAGGATTACAACAATATTTTCTAGTAAATATTATTTTAAAGTAGATTAAAAATTTACGTAATTATTTTCTTAGGCATTTTATTAACTTGTCTCTTTTTCTACTAAAATTATTTTATTCTTAATTCTTATTTAATACGTCCGGCAGTTTGGGCATATTGATAAGAAATAAAATCTATACTAATATTATAAAGAGGCAGACTTTGTTTGAACGCGCTAATCTCAGGAACTACTAATCCGATATTTTTTTTGCATTAGATAGCCCGTTCATTGAAGGAGGCTATAGACTATATATCATTATGCTACTATCCAAGGGAGCGGAGCAGTAATATAATATTATATAGTCCATCTTTTCCATAATAACCGTTAAAACGTTTCTAGAGACGAACCCGGCCAAAGTGAGGGTGAGCCGCTTGTACTTTATATTTATTGTTTGACACACTCTTTAATTAGCTTCAAATAAAACTCAGAGAAGCGACAAATATCCGTACATAATATATTTTGGACTACGTACAAAGAGATTTAAACCTTATTCAATATAAAAGTTTATTTGGCAGTAGCAGAGTGGTCCGTAAGCAGTGCTTTCAAACTGTACAAACTACACTTTTAGTTCCAATGTATAAAGTCGAAATAAAAACACATTGAAATGTAACTGTACAGAATAAAAAACTTTTTGGAATTTTTACTGGCTACATGTTTCACTGAACAAAACTATGTTGTGTTTAATTATTACTGTTAAAATTTATTGTCAATTTTTTTATGTGTAGAAGTAAATATAAATAAGAGATACTCGTATAAGCAAAGACAAAACAATTCAGTATCTTCTTCTTCTCTGTTTGCCAAACGGGTTTCTTTTTATTTTTATTTAGAAGCTATTGACGTGTACAGTTAGTTTTTTTTGATATAGGGGAAAGGTGTACGAGATGATTCCCCTAAGGGAGAATGCTTGTAATTTCAATAACATTTAATTTAAAATAGATGTAAAAGCAGTTTATGATAGCAAATTTATCGAACTACCGGTTTTCAAAATCAAAACAAAGAATAAAACAAGTTTTCATTGTTATATTTCACTATTTTTAAATCTTAGTTTAGTTAAAATTCTAAACGCTTTTTTCCTGGTGTTCTTACACACAAATCACAAGTAAATTCATCAGAATCATCACTATCTATCCCTGCACAAGATGACCCCATTTTTGACATTCACAACATTTTATTCGTAAATCACCCATGTTATCCTTGGAAAATGTTTCCGTGCAAAGTAGACATTCTGTATCTTCTTCTTCTTCAGATGGCTCAGACTCGAGAATATAAGAAGTTTTCTTCCTCTTATTGGATACTTCTTTACCTTTTCTTCTTTTACGTTTTACAGCATCCAGTGCTTTAATCATAGAGTCTTCCAACCACCCGTCACGTTTCGTTTTTCTTCTATTATTACGCGGCATATTCTAAAACAATACAAAAATACTTCTGTGTAATAGATAAGTAAAAGTCAGTAAAATAAACAATGTGTTAGGTGCAAGATGATCCGCACGGATCATCTCGTACACCAACAACCTAATCATCTTGCCCCAAATACATTTTTTTATCCTTTATTGGAATATAACCTAAATGCTTTCTATTTGAGTTATTATGCCATTATAAAAACAAAATAGAACATTTTTGACATCTATATATAAAAGAAAGTCGTGTTAGTTACTTCGCTTATAACTCAAGAACGGCTGAACCGATTTAGCTGAAAATTGGCAGGGAGGTAGTTTAGAGCCAGGAGAAGGACATAGGATACTTTTTATCCCGTTCGACCGCGTTCAGATTTTTATGATATTTTAATTTTTGGATTTCTCTTAGTCCGGAATAGGTAAGTATTAAAACATATAATTAAAATGTGAGAAAGAAAGATTTTTTCTTTTTATATCTATTTAAAACGTACCTAGCGACGAACCCGAGCGAAGCGAGGGTGAGCCGCTAGTCTACTAATACAACAAAAATTGCATTTGACAGTCTAGAATAAAAGTAACGTAGATTTAAAATCAATCTTACCTTATATCTACGTCACACAATTTTTGTTTTATGTCGTCAAACTTTACTAGTCACTCACACTGCCATTGCGATTTGACTGAAGAGAAGGGCCATCAATTTAAAAGGATCATCTTACCTCAACGGATCATTTCGTACACCTTTCCTACATATTTTGTCAGTAAGTAACTTTTATCTTATATTTATGCGAATATTTGATATTTTAAATAAAACTATCTTTCCGGATTATTTCGCGGAGTTATTTTGATTTTTGGTTCCCGACGTTTCGAATGCTTTATAGTAATCATGGCCATGAGAGAGACTAACGTTTAAGATGTCTCAAAGGCATTATATATATATATATATATATATATATGTTTGTAATAAGTATATAACGCCTTTGAGACGTTTAAAACCTTAGTCTCTCCCGTGACCATGAATGCTGTAAGCATTCGAAACATCGAGAACCAAAAATCTAAATAAATCCGCGACATAATCCGAAAAGATAGTTTTATTTAAAAAATACACTCTAGTCATACCTATGCGTTATCCTCACATTTTTAATAATAAATATGGTCGAATTTCGACCACTGGGTGAAAACTACTTTTTTTATATTCTTTTTATCTGTTTATATATAAACATCATAAACCTGAAAGTTTGTGAGTATGTATGCATGTTTGTTACTCTTTCACGCCAGAACAGCTGAACAGATCTAGATGAAATTTGGCACAGAGATAGATTATAGCCTGGAACAACGCATAACCTACTTTTTATCCCAGAAAAATATACGGTTCCCGAGGGATAGATTTATTTATTAATACTCTAAGTGAGTGTGGCGCAAAGTCTGGTGTATTTGGTATTCTATTTTTACATGGAATGCCACAAGTTCAATACTTTTACCATTCACGGTCGTCAATAGCGCGTTCATGCCATATATAAAAGAAATGGAGGAATAATAAGAGGAGAAAAGAAGCACAAGAATACGGTGATCTATCGCCTCACTATTATCACTCACCAAACGAAACTCGACAGCGTGGGTATTGGGTAGGTATATATAATTCTTATCGATATTTTGTCATTTGTCACCGCATATACTATCTTAAAAGAATCGATTATTCATAAATATCTCAGCACGGTGTATTACTCAAACTAAACAATATAAAACTTTAAATTTGTATGTTAGGACGTAATGACGTCCTACCATACTATGTACCAATGGGTAAACGGGGAACGGAGTTACATATAGTTTTTTACTAAATCTCTTAAAAGGAAATTGGTGTTTTATGAATAGTTATTATGTAAGAAATATGGTAGTAAGGATATCTAAGTTTAAACTTCGAACTAGAACTTTTACCGTACACGTTGGAGTACCGGAAGATGGATTGTCGGCCACCCGGGCACCGGCCACAAGGTGGAATAACGATCTGATTAAAGTTGCTGAAACCTACTGGATGCTGATTGCACAAGAATTCGTAGAAATCTTTGGGGTCTATGTCCAGCAGTGGACGTCTTTCGGCTGATATGATGATGATGACCATGCACGGAGGAGAGGATCTTAAAAAAAGTTTCAAATAACACAGTTTTCCATTTGCAGATGACAATTATTTTTGTTGTTGTTTAGATTACAAGCACGTTTATATTAGACGATAGAGCAAAAGCAACTTGTCTTAATGCAAACCTACTTGTGAATAATGAACGCCGCGACAGTTACACTACACGTCTGAAGTCAGGTTAAAAACCTTTATACATACATATTACATATATGATTTTTTTTTAATTTACCTTATACATATTAATATTTTTTTTGGTTTGGTGTAACAATGAAATTCTTAGGAAAATAATAAAGTATCAACACATTGTACTATGTTTGATTGAAGTAAAAAAAGAAGGGGCTAATTTTATTCGTTTATAAAGGACTAGCTATGCCCGCGGCTCCGCCCGCGTTCAGATGACCAAAAACCAAATCTCAGGTTTTACATATTAGTAAACTCTTACAATGCAGTTATTGTATTTTTTCTCAGAAATGAGATATTTTCCCGCGGTAAAAAGTATCCTATATGTTGACCCGGATAACCAGCTATCCCCCCCCCCCAACGTGCGTTCACCTTGTCGTGGTGGGGGGGCTCAGTAGTGTACTCGCGAAGCCAAGAAACGCACAGGGAGGTGGCCCGCTTCGGTGGGTGGTGGGAGGCAGCCTTCTTCGGAGGGCGGTGTACCATGCGGGTTGCTCCTGGTACTTCTCTGATAGCAGAGTGGACCGTGGAGCAACCCCATGGTTGTTGTGGTCTGCTTCGGCAGACCTGCCGTCGGGGCGTCGTAGTTGAATGCGTAAGCGATCCTGCGACGTCCCATTAAGACGGGGTATGGTTTTGTTGGGTTTTAGTGGGTAGTACTGGCTTCGCCGGTGAGTCCCACACTTCGTGCGTAAATGCATTTCCCAACGTTAAAAAAAAAAAAAAATAACCAGCTATCACCATACCAAATTTTATCAAAGTCCTCCAGTAGTTTTTCTGTGATGCGGTAACAGACAGACAGACAGACAGACAAAAAACAAAAATGTGTGTGTGTGCGTGCGTGCGTGCGTGCGTGCGTGCGTGCGTGCGTGCGTGCGTGCGTGCGTGCGTGTGTGTGTGTGTGTATTTAGAGTTAAACTATCTGGTATCCATAACACAAGCCTCGTAGCTTACCACGGAACTAGATGGTGTTGTGTATTAAAGTACCGACATATTTATTTACTTATTTATAGCTATATAAATAGCTGTAAAGTAATTTTTAAACATTCGTAAACTAAATTATAATATCCAGAGAAATTTAAGGAACCATAGATCATGAATTTAAATACAATAGATAATTCCGCCTTGTCATGTTGTTCAGGTGCGCTGGTATTAGGCTATTGCACCGACTCGTGCTGAGTTACGACTGCCTCTGATTTATTGTTACTGGTTCATTTGTGCTGGAACTGTATCGAATTTTATATGTATTAAAATATAAGTTAATTTATTATGTACATTAGGTCTATTTATTGGTCTATTGTTATAAATGCAAAATTTTATAAATATACTAGCGACTCACCCTTGCTTCGCTCGGGTTCGTCCCTAGCTTGCTTCCCCATGCAAATTTTCATCCATATTCTCACTCCCTTAATGATTATTTCCGGCATAAAAAGTATCCTATGTCCTTTCCAGGATCTTAAACTATCTTCTTATTAAATTTCATCTAAATCGGTTCAGTAGATCCAGATATTACCCCCTACAACGTCATAAACTCACAAACTTATAAGTTTATAAAGAGTTATCTTTATAATATTAGTATAGACTAGAGAACCCGCGGCTAGGCGTTAAATCTACAAAAAAACTCTTTGGCTTTATATTATTACTAGCGACTCACACTCGCTTCGCTCGGGTTTGTCATATTACATACATATTTTTTTTAAATAAAGTTATTGGGGAACAGTAGTATATAATAGTAATACTTTAGTATACAAATAGGTAAAAAAGTGATTTTCAGAAATTAAAAGTGAGTTTAAAAGTATTTTGAATTTTAGCTTTTAATTGTACATTATAAGTACATAATATGTATTATGTAAAGATAATAATAATTTTCATTTTATTTGGTTTTGTAAATTAGAGGTTGTAGCTTAATCTATATGTTTGATGCACTTTCTGTATATACTTGGGACTCTAATTTCTGTGAATATAAAGGCAAACAGATCTTCGTACAAAAGTAAGCCATTTCTTATTCAACCGAGTATAAATAAGAGGAGTTCAATTAGACTAGTGTTGCTTCATTTTTTACTTAAGTAAAAAAAAAGTTTATGTGAATTATAGCCTTAGAGGTGTATTTTTTATTTAGTTATAAAAGTCATTATTCTGTGTACATTTATACTAAAAAGTTTCATGAAAATAAGATCTAAATAGGTTGAACAGTTTATTTCAATTTGTACGAGCCATGTCAAGTTTTCCCCATTAACATTGGGTTGCGTTGCGAAAGTTTACAACTTGTTGCAACTTGTGAACACTAACAATGTTAAACTTGCTCTTCCTAGGATGTGCTACATACTAATTTTTAAAAATATATATATATATATAATTTAAAAATTTTTGGGGTTCTGTACCTCAAAAATTAAAAAAAGGAATCCTTATAAAATCACTCACTTGTCCGTCTGTCCGTGTGTCACAACCGATTTTGTCAGGAACGAGTGGACCTAGCAAGTTGAAATTTATACCAGATACTCAAGTCTATAGTCCCTATTAAGTGTATAAAAATCAAGTTCCTGAGTCGACACGATAAAAAGATATGGGCAAATTTAGATTTTCGTGAAAACTTTACAAAGTAACAAAATTTGCCTTGATTTTCAACTTTTATTATTTTTCGGAATTTTTCCTTTACTTGTGTTGTAAGACCTTGCTTTTAACCAATATTATTAAT